GGATTACTGATACTTTTACTTGTGCATTAAATGTAGTGTACATTTAACTTGGTGCAGTGAATTGTCTATAGGAAGTGCCCAGTCATCTCCAAACCAAGCTAACGTTATATGGTTATACGCTACAGCGATTCTCACACTAAGATTTAATCTACACTACAACCCTGAAACTAGACACTCATTTGAACAAGTGTCAATACTAAAAAAAGTCACAGAACAGAAGTGAACCTTTACTGAATCACTTTAGACTGACTTTGAGCTCTATCAGTATACACCCGTGCACCACTATGGAACCTACCTGAGCGATTACACACATATAAAACCACATGGTAATAGAAAAGAACACTGTCAGTCAACTCTACAGAAGGTGTGTTGTCCGTTATTTGTATTCACATCGAGATTTATAGACAAAATAGTGATATAAAAACACCAGGATCATGTAGAGTGGGTTAATACAAACATTTCAAATTTCAAAATGAGGAGCCTAACATTAACAGTTACTGATAAAAGGGTGATGGTTTTTCAGTAGAAAGTGAATTGGAGCCAAAAATGAGTCCACGCTCCCTCCCTGTCGGAAATGTGACGCTAGTGCTTTATCTTTGTCCATCCATGTATTGTTCTGACTCAGATCACATCACAGCACTTCTGTTGGCCAATATTATTTAATACAGATGGGAGGCAGCTAAAAGGAATATTCATGTTAACTGCAGATTTCTGTTGTAATACAGCATGGGCTTGGGTCTAGCCAAGAACAGAAGTGATCAGGTTCCATATTTGGGAATTCATCTTTTCAATATTTCATGGCAAAGTACAATGTAATCAATAGGGAAATCTGGCTTTGGCCCATCTGGAAGCACAATATCATCACATTTTAGAATCTGAAAACCACAAATACAGTCTATGCTAACAACCCTAAAACCATGTGACACTGGTCGATGGGCGGCCGCATGCGGGGCCCTGGGGGGGCACCCGCACCCAGCATGGGGGCGTGGGTGTGGCTTGGCCGGCTCCCACTTGAGTGGGGATCTGAGGCAAAACTCCAACACACACTTAACAAATTAAAGTAGCAATAATACAGGTCAACAGTAAATCATCCGCATAGCTTGTCTATCCCCCCGTGCACACACATACACTCAGTGTTGTGCATGAACGAGTTCAAAAGAACGCGTTCATTGAACAGGTTCATTTTTCAGTGAACTTTGAACTGAACGCAACACTTTTGTAAATCAAGAACTTGAACGTGAATTTGTTCAAATTATGTGTGATGAACGACGTACGTCACTGTTGGGGTTCAGTTAAATGTCGGAATTTGACGAGTGACGATCTGCTCGCACTTCACCTCGCGAAACCACAGCCGCGTGTCAACGCGAAGGCGACTCCACCGGCAGCTTTAGCGGAACGTACGGGCTCTTGTGTCTCTCAATCAGAAGTCAATCAAACTTGACTGGGCGCGTTTAGCTGCTTGTATTTACCTTCTGTACAGGCTGACCACGGCAAACGCAAGGATTTCAAAAGTAAATTTCAAAGCACTAATTAACAGTGTATGTGGATCTGGGCTCTTTCACATGATACACAACTGCCCAGGGAGCACAATGTGCTGATGGTAAATGCACAAATACAACAATAGATACATGCTCTCTGTGGATTTTGACGGGGATACGCGCCTACGCTCGTGTAGAGCGTCAAAAAATAGGATGGATCCTATTTTCTGAAATCTACACGCACAGGACGTGCTGCTCCGCGCGCGTATTATTTTACTTGGTACATATGTCAGTAACGCGCGTCACAATGCTTTTTTAACCTGGATTGAAATGGTGGGTTTTTCGTTTTTCTTCATACAAATTTACTAAAATCACCGCGATATCAGCAGCGGTGAAACACCGGAGGTGCGCCCGCGTAGACCGTGATCCTGAGCGAAAGGACCGACGCAGAAGTCCGCGCTCCACCGAGATAAACGCAGCTGACGCCCGATCGCACTCGGGGTTCCCTCAGGGGCGGTCCTAGATTCCAAGTTCTAGTCCAGGATTAGTCCTGGTTTGGTCCTGGTTTAGTCTTGGTTTAGTCCTGGTTTAGTCCTGGTTCAGTTCTGGTTTAGACCTGGTTTAGTCCTGGTTCAGTTCTGGTTCAATCCTGGTTTAGACCTGGTTCAATTCTGGTTCAGTCCTGGTTTAGTCTTGGTTTATTCCTGGTTTAGACCTGGTTCAGTCCTTGTTCAGTTCTGGTATAGACCTGGTTTAGTCCTGGTTTAGACCTGGTTCAGTTCTGGTTTAGTCCTGGTTTAGACCTGGTTTAGTCCTGGTTCAGTTCTGGTTTAGTCCTGGTTTAGTCCTGGTTCAGTTCTGGTTTAGACCTGGTTTAGTCCTGGTTCAATTCTGGTTCAGTCCTGGTTTAGTCTTGGTTTATTCCTGGTTTAGACCTGGTTTAGTCCTGGTTTAGACCTGGTTTAGTCCTGGTTTGGACCTGGTTCAGTTCTGGTTTAGTCCTGGTTTAGACCTGGTTTAGTCCTGGTTCAGTCCATATACGACGCAAAAGTTCAACATCTTAACAGTTCTTTTGGTGAGAGTAAATTAAAAGTGCTGCAATAGTCATGTAATGTTTTACATTTTAAATGCAGTAATATTGTAATGTAACAAATTACTTTAAAATGACAGTAACAAGTCATAAATAACACATTACAGTTTTAAAGTCACTTGTCCAACAGTGTATCTTGTAAAGTTGTTGTAAACTAGAAGTCAGTTTGAAAAATAAAAGCAGCCTTTCATTTACAGATCTCATCTAAATATAAAGTGAACTGAACTTTGAACTAGTTCAAAATTAAAATTGTGAACTATGAACGTGAACTATTCACTTTGAACAAGTGTGAACTGAACTTTGAACTAGTTCATGAAAAGTGTGAACTTGCACAACACTGCATACACTCACACACGCGCATATGCACACACACAGACACACACATAAGGTTCACACTGTCACCAACCCTTGTCATCTTTGTCCCTATTTGTATGTAATCTTCAATCGTAATGTCTGTCTTGTATCATGACCTTCGCTGTCAGTTGTTGTCTAATGTGTCTTACTGTTAGTTTGTTATGTCTGATGAGGAGAGACTGAAGTATTTGTTTAAATGTAATGTTTTTAAGTTGGCTCAGTTTGTGCTGAAAGCCTGGGACCTCTGTAAGAGGACACTTTATGTTTGATGTGTGATCTGTCTGCTTATTGTTTTATGTGTCTTATAAGCCCATGCAGGCTGGGAACCAACTAAATGGTGCATGACACTAAATAAGTAAAATAAACTAAACTAAACTGTATGTTGTTTGACTCCTATTTGTTGTAATCTATGTAGTTTGCAAATAAAATTAAAAAAAAAAAAAAAAAAAAAAACAAGTGACATTTTTTGGCCAACAAGCCACCCTGGTCACTCTGTACACCTGGAGCGAGCGGCAAAACAGAGACAGAGGGACAGAGAGATATTTTATTGATCCTGAAGGAAATTCAAGTTTTGCTGCTGCAACATTTCCACTGCACTTCTTAGTCTAAATGTGTCTCAGTCAACTCTCAGGAGAGTTTAACAGGAGGACTGGTCAGGGAGGGTCAGCAGATCTGTGTCAGAGCAGTTTGATGAGAGAAAGAACCCTCTGGACAAAAGTGTCCCTCAGTGTGCTGCAACGTTACATCAGAAAAGGCAGAAACAAAAAGGGGAAAGGTGAACGGTCCAAAGCACACATTCACACATGTCTGAGTAATCCTTTATTATTCTGTCTAAAATTCTCTGTTCCACTTTGTGATGTCATGAAGCAGTAGTTAACAAGTTGACAGCTCCTTTTACCTTTTGATGAGTAGATGTTAGCAGTTCCAGGACTGAAATCATCCAAATGACAACAGTGCACACAAAACACAGTGGAGCACTTCCTGTATTACCACACGACATCACAATGTGGAATTGAGTGTTTGTAGTTTCAGAGAAAACAAAACACAACTCCAGGTCTGTTTATGATGAGGATTATAACATAGATCAGAAAATAGAATAATTCTCTTGTGTCCTAAAGTGTGATTTAAAGTAACAGTAGAAGTAGTCGTGGTGCTAGCTGTGTGAAGACTGACCCTGTTTTACCGTCAGAGTACATGAGCCTTGCTGGTAAATGTACTAGTACTTCACTAGTGGTACATGCAGTAGTGCTGGTAAGCGCACTGTGTGAGAGTATGTGGGCCTTAGTTGAGGTTAGTGGTGAACGGCTCTCTCTCATGTCACTGCTCAGATGGGAACTTCTTATTGCAACATCTAAACTGTGGTTCACTTTATTTAAGGTTATCTAATCTTGAAAGTAAAATAGTTTTAGGTGATAGTGCATGCTGAGGGTGAAGTTAAAGTCATGATCAAACTTAGATGATCATGTATCAAAAATAAGTCAAACACTACATGACCCATATGAGACTATTTTCTGATCTGTTATGTTTCCTCCTGACATAACTGGAGTTGTGTTTTGTTCCACAGGCTTTACTAACCCAGACATTCACCATAAGTCAAACCCTCACCAAGACTAGCGCAAGATCTGGAGTCCCACTGCTCCTGCTGACACTGAAGGATGGGTCAAATGCACAAGACAAATGTCCCTGAGTTGACAATAAAGTATGTCTTTATATTAAGTGTGGAAATAGCAGAAAGCAGCAGTAGTAGTATTGGTAGCAGTAATGGTAGTAGTAATGATAGTAGTAGTAGTGGTAGTAGTAGTGATAGTAGTAGTAGTAGTAGTAGTAGTAGTAGTAGTAGTATAGTAGTAGTAGTAGCAGTAGTAATAGTAGTAGTAGCAGTAGTAGTAGTAGCAGTAGTAGTAGCAGTAGTAGCAGTAGTAATAATAGTAGTAGCAGTAATAATAGTAGTAGTAGCAGTAGTAGTAGTAGAAGTAGTAGTAGTAATAGCAGAAGAAGACGTACTTTTTTACTTGATTTCCAGTGATCCCATAATTATGATGCATAAAGCATTTAAATGAAATAATAATAAAACTGTATTAAAAAATAAGTTCTTTATTCATAAAAATAAATTACATAAATACAAAAATACATATTTATTGTCCAGTGCAGTTCAATAAATAAAGCAAGTTAGATCATCTGAAATAGTAATTGTCTATAAGACAAAGAGGTTTAAGTCTCCAGCTGGATCCATGTTTCCCACAGGGAGCAATGGAGTTTAGCAGGAATTCTCACTGTCCAAGAGACACAATGAGCGGAGTGGACGTCATGAGGTCTGTTCAGGTAGAAGATGTTTATGCTCGATGCTAGTTCTTTGTGTTCACCCTGAGGAGGTCTACGCGCGGTTAGATGTTCTTATAAAGTTCTATCATGTAACATTCCAAACAGTGGGTGCAGATGTTGAGAGGAGTCGTGTGGTGTTAAAGTGACTTCTGGAGCCCAGACAGTTCATTCTACACAGGTTGGAGAGTGGCTGGGCTGGGGTCACAAGGTCACTGGGTCAGAGGTTTCAAGAGGAGGAGGAGGAGGAGGAGGAGGAGGAGGCTCCAGGGCGGCGTCTGTTAGAGGCCAGGTACCTCTCGATGTAGTTGAACAGAACATCTAACTCTCCCATTGCTTTAAACAGTCCTTTGCGCTCCATCTGTGAAAAAAAAAAAAAAAAAAAAAAAAAAACCTCATTAAGTCTACCTTTATAAAACACACAGTTATATCTGAACATTCTACCTGTGCTATCAAAAGAAACCGCTATCAGGATAACAGTTCATAATAATTTTGAACAGAATGATAATTTTGACTACTTTTGACTAGTTACACACTGGACTTAAATTATTTGCCCTAAACATCTTTATCTTAATCTCATCAAAACTGTCACTAACCTGGGACTAAACCTGAACTAAACCAGGACTAAACCAGGACTAGAGCAGGACCAAATCGAGTCTAAACCAGGACCATTCTAACCAAGACCAAACCAAAATACAGTGGTCCAAAATACTCAAATCAAAGCTGGGGTCATACTTTTACAAACTGGGACCAAACCAGAACCCTGGACTAAACCTGGACTAAGTTTGTATGTAGCAGCCAGTTTGAATATAACAAAAACTCACCTGTGTGTAACTGGAGTTGAGGCTGTTAATGTCAAACGGCTTCTTGCATGAAAAATAATTTCTCTGCGACAAAGAAAGAAAAGGAAAGTGAGCCAACGTCACAATAAGTTCAGGTTTAAACACAAGCGTAACTTTTGCACTTCCGCATTGAGTCTTGTGCAAGGCCTGGTGACGCACTGAAGACGCTATCATGTGACGTAGTTTTATCTGCCTGCCTATGGAATGGAGAGAGACTATTGCGTGGGATTGTTTTGAAATAAACTGCAAACAAAAATCGTGACTAAAATGATTTGGTGTTAGATTGTGGTTTACCTATAAGGGGAAAATAACATAACAATTTGGAGTGAGTCATTTCTTTCTAAATATTGCTCATTTGAATGTTATTATTTAAGATGTGCTGTGCCACCTACTATCTCGCTATTTTCTATCTTGCATTACTTCAGTTACAGTTGTTTTATTGCTTATAAATACATTGAAAATGAATGCATGCTTATGGTGAGCAGGGTTGTCTCTCCACAGATCTAAACAGTAACTTAGCCTGGTGGGGTCACTTGCTTATCTCCACAGAAATGGATAGGTTTAATGTCAGGTTTTGAAATATTTCAGGCAAAGCAATAACATTTCCATGGAGACAAGCAGGTGATGACCATCTGCCAGAAAAGTTACAATTTGTGCAGCTTTAATTATTCAAAATTATTCTTATTTTTCCTGTTTCCATTTTGTGATGGTGTTCAAATTAACTTCAGATTCAAATTAACTTATTTTTGTTGCTGTTGATCTTTACATTTTCAAGGGTAGTCTCAGTACATACATGATACTTCTAAAACTGTATTCAGAATGCATTTTTACTCCTCAATACAACAATATAATAATGCATTTCATGTATTTTTCCACGTAACATGGTATAAACAATGATAGGTTACTTACACATTGGGTCACTTCGCGTTTCAGCTCGTCAAAGATCAGCTGTATAGACTCCATATAGGGCCGTAGCGATTTGGTGCCCTCCGTGACTCCGGCGAGCGCACTGGGCAGCACCGTGCGGAGGTAAAAGCTCAGAATATCGTCCATGGCATGGCACGCGTACGGAGTCTGGAAGAAAGAATTAAAAACAATCAATACATGACGCCGTGTTTCGACAGTCAGTGCAAAAAAAAAAAAGCGCTGTGCAACATTTGGTGTGCGATAAAGGTCAAATTACAACGAATTTAGAACTTGAAATAAATGAATTGATTTTCACGCTTTTTACGCATGACTCAAGATTTGACAAATTGAGCCATGTTAGTATTAACTTAACTTTATCACAATTCCAAGTATTTAATCAATCCTTTCCATGTATTTTCCCTGAAACTGGTGACAATTTTGGCTGCATCATTCATGTAAACATTAGAGGAACAAGGTTAAACTCGTGCGTAAAATCCCCCCAAATTACGCGCTACTTTGGCTTGAATGGAATGCAGCTTTATTTAGTCTATCCCAGTAAATAAGTTATAGATTTTTAGCAAATTAAATGTCTTGCACATTACAGAAGCGTGAATTTCTTGAGTCTGTTCCCTCATGCTACTCTAAAGCGCACAAATATGCAACTTGAGTCATCACTTTAAGGTTTTCATCCTACGTTGACAGATAGCATCACTTACACTGAACGAATTCTCCACGGAATCGCCGAGCAGCGCTGCGTCCAGGTCGTCATTGGCTTCCTGTGAAGAGAAAGAAGTTTTAATTGAAATGTAACCGGTGCGTAAAGGTTTGGAGAGCTTTGGCACGGCGCGCACTCACGTAATAGTCGCGGATCTGTGAGTAGTCCTCTCGCAGTTTCCTCAGTCTTAGAGGGAACCCCTCCACGAAGCGACAGCATCTGTTATTACAGGTGGGACTCCCTTGCCCTTGTCTCGCGAGAACCAGAAAGGCAGCGAGGAGACACGAGATGATGAGCAGCGGCCGAGGGTGCATCTTTACCGGTTGCAGGCTGAGTTAATCTCCCCCAAAATGGATAAAGTAGCTGGAAAGACGTAAGTAGTGGTTGGAATCTCGCAGAATGGACTATTTCAGGTCCGAAACTCTTTAGAAAACTGCACAATTCTGACATGTTTTATAGTGAATAGCCAGGGAGGAGTCTGCCTGGAAGTATTAACGGGGGATTCACACGCGCCCCTCCTCTGCCACACGAGAGGACAAATTGCGGCTAAATAATTTTGGTTTGGTTAATGGTTTGTAGTATCTGTTATTAATAACTCCATTCAACACTTAATATCCGTGAAACACTGCAAACATGCTTCCCTATGCAATAATTTTATGATATCAGTATCTGTCATTTTCCTATTGGCTATTATTTTAACATAACATTTACGTAAATTTTAGCCTAGTAGGATTTGTAGTTGTCATTTAATTGTGCAATAATAAGAAAATAATCTTTTTTTTTTTTCATATAGTTATAGATTTTGATCATGTTACTTGCCTTTGAGTAGTTTTAGTTTAGTTTTTAGTTCCCATTTTAAAGAATAACAAATGTTTATTATGATTATGATTATTATTATTATTATTGATTTATTTTTATTAATAGTCACATCTAAGTCAAATCAAACAACTTCCAGATATCATTTTATGTAATTTCTCTAATGTTATTATTGTTTTTAATTCACTATTTTTTTACATGTATGCAGAAATTGGCACTTTTTAAAATTGTTTACAAATATTTTTTCTACTGCTTACATACAAACATGTCATATTCAAAAGTGTAGTAGTAGTGTATTTGAATAATAATATTTGTGATTGCTTTTTGATTTGCTGACACTTTTTCGATTGATAAAACTTCACTCATTCAGAAAACATGACACATAAAAAGAGTCTTAGACTTAACCACTTCATTTCAGTTTTCAGTCTTCTTAATGCGTTGTCTTATTATCATAACATACCTGGAGTTTTGTTTTTTGTATTCTTTCTTTTAGACCAATATTAATGACGTTGTTGGCTAGAATTTCAACATTATCATTTTCGTGACATGTCGTGATGGTAATTGCTTATCATTGTCTATCAGGGTGTATTCATTTTAGTGTGACATTTCAGTTTTGAGGTGTATGTAGTGTGCTGGGGTCACTGCGTTCTCTCACTATGACGTGCTTTGTACCGGTAACCCGCCTGACAGTCTGTGCCCAGGAAAAATTTACTTTATTTGTTTAAAAGAAAGACAAGAGCATGGGGCAAAGGGGCGAAGGTGCTTTCCGTGAAAATACTGTGTTTTTCTCTTCCAGTGCAACCCAAGGACTGCCAAATATATGTGGGTGAATTGTCTTGCCCAAGAGCACAATAACAGTTTGTCCAAACATGGTTTCGAACAGGAAAATTCCAGTTTGTAGTCTTGAATGCAGAAGATCAGCTTTACTTGAGTGGTTTTGCGTATTACTTCATATTTTTCTGTATATTTTCAAGGTAGTTTTCCATTTTAACGTCATACGATTTGTCATTGGGCTATATTTAGAACTTCACACTGAAAATGCACTCTTCCACCTTGTGATGTCATGAGCTGGTAATCAAGGAAGCGCTCCACTGTGTTTTTTAAGTTTGCCAGCTGCTTGTTTCTACAGAAATATTATTGGTTTGTAGAGCGGATTTGATTTGGGAAAAACTTTTAATTGTGATTTTTCTAGCAGACATTGTGATTCTCTTCAAAGTTCACATATTAAACACGTCCGTGAGAATTGACGACAAGAATAACTTTTCAAAACTTTTTACATACCTAAACTACAAGGTTAGCAGTTTTTATGCAGAGGAAGGCGTGAGATTCTGTTATTTGTGGAGGAAATTATGGTAATTCAAAAACTGCCGTCTTTGCGTTTTGCTTATTATTTCTATTCAAATTGGGTTTCATTTGCGATTAATCTCCCAGTGCCACAGCATATTTACTCCAAGTTATTTTCCATTGTAACACTATTTGGCATTGGACTACAACTTATTATGTTACTCTGACAATCTGTTCCACCTTGTGATGTCATTAGCTGGTGTTCCACTGCGTACTACTACCGTAAAGAAGCACAGTGTAATTTTTTGGGTCCACTACCTGTTCGCTTTCATGGAGATGTTATTGCTTTGCCTGAAATGTTGCAGAGTATTGCTGTTACGCGTCACAAGGTCTAGGGGTTATCTGATTCATCAGCTGGTTCCACTTTGTAGAAACCATCTGTTTGCTTGATGGTAGGCGGATACTTTTTTCTTTTAACCAATCGCTATTTGGTATGTAATGCGCTGCTAACGGGGCTAACTGGTATATTAAGCTTTTCCCAAACCCCGTAGGAAGAAGGACAATAACGTCTTTCCCCTTGATAAAACTCACCAAACATTCTCTTTGTTCCGGCTTTAATTCTCAATCTCGGGAATCGTTGCCAACACAGAATGTATGGCTCTTTGCTGATTGGATGATGCCCGAACTCACACTTCCGGGGTTTTTCTGAACCGTCTAGTGTATTCCAATTCCTGACCTGGTTGCTGGAGAGAAATGAAATTGAGCAGAGGCACTAGGTGGCGCCAGCCTGGGTACTAGGGGTTGGCACGGTAACTGGAAAAGATGTTACAAAAAAAATGGGCGTGGAACAAAAATGGGAGCGTGATGAGGTGTCCAAAAGAAATAATATTTATTACAAAAAATGACTAAAAAGTGTAAAAAATTCTAATTGTTAAATAGCACAAAAATTAAGAACTAAGGATCACTGTGCTTGACTGGTGGCGGCTCAGGGCTTTTATTCTCCTTGCTGATCGGACGGGCCAAGTGAGGCTGATCAGTTGGGCAGATCTGAAGAGGTGGAGGCAAAGACAAACAAGAGAAACTAGGACATTGTCCATCACAATGGCATTTAACTTGTTTATCTCCAAAGTTCAAAGTCACGGTTAACTTCTATGGCACATTTAAACAGAAGGTACTGATGCATAGTGTGTGACATTATAGATAAAAGCAAAGGCCACTAGAGAGAGTTACTGGTCAGATCTGTGTGGTGGCGGGCAACCCTGATCAAAGTAAAATGCATATTTTTCAAGGTATTTTTATTTTTTATATTGAAAACACCCATATATTTCCTAAAGCAACGAACTAACCAAAATTCATCAAAATTACACAACTCAAAATGAAAACACATAATAGTATAAATTATTTTAAAGGGCTTATATTACACTATTTTCTGATCTGTTCTAATGTTGTTTCCTCATCACAAACAGACCTGGAGCTTTGTTTTGTTTCATTCACACACGTTTAACACACAAACCCTGCATGCTTAGACTGAATTCTTCTCTGAAACTGAAAAGGCTGTGCTCCACCTTGTGATGTCATGTGGTAATACAAGAAGTGCTCCACTGTTTTTAAACTCCATACTACATCACTAGGAGCACTTGGATAATTTCAGCTCTGGAATCACCAATCTCTACTGAACAAAAGGTTAAATGTAGCTCTTAACATAAAAACAACCAGTACGTGACATCACAAGGTGGAACGGAGCATTTTCAGCTTTGGAGATGTAGGCAGACTATTAATAAATAATTACTCAAACATGTGTGAATGAAACAAAACACAACTCCAGGTCTGTTTATGATGTGGTAACATTATAGCATGACTTAAAGCTTGCACTGAAGAGTAAGTTTTGCGTAATACAGGCCTTTAATTTTCACAGATATAGAATGTTGATATTTATTTTGCCAAACTTAGGGCATGTTGTGAAAATTGCTATAAAAGGCACAGGCGGATGCTGTTGGTCAATATCGGGGTGAACGCTCGGTGAGTCTCTGTCTACATGTCCTGTGTGGGAAACCCAGCTTCCTCTGCCCAATTTGCCCTCTACATAATGCTTATGTAAGAGCTTAATTTTTTGTTTTGACGGAATTACATTGTTGTGCTAAAAAGAGTCATCGTCTGGAGTTAACCAAATATTTATGAATCCCCCCGGGGGGTAAAGTCAGTTCAGAAAGAAGGAAATGTTCCAAATGTTATTCCATCATGAGATTTAAAAAAAAAAAATATTCAGAGTGACTAATGCTTTTGAATTTATACGGGTATATAGAAAAATATCGCAGTTATTTGGAAAATATTCAAAAATCTAAATGCGCAAAATGATTATTGTCAGTATTGTGAGGCAACAGTAGCTCAGATGGTTAGAGCTTGTTATCACATCCGAAGGTTGTTGGTTCGAACCCTGTTGTTGACATAAACGTAAGCATCATAGTGGCGACATCCACGGAAACCACAGATTGGCGGTGAGTTTCTAGATCCCTCAGATGAATACTGTTGTTGTGTCCTTGGGCAAGACACTTAACCCACTTGTGTATGTGTATGTGTGTGTGTGTGTGTGTGTGTGTGTGTGTGTGTGTGTGTTAGTGGTTTCTTGGGGTAAAGTGCTTTGAGTTGGCCAGGCTGGTGCCACCTAGTGCCTCCGCTCAATTTCATTTCTCTCCAGCGACTAGGTCAGGAATCAGAATACATTAGATGGTTTGCAAAACCCCCGGAAGCTGTAGACTGCTCACCGGCCAATCAGCGAAGAGTCATACATTTTGTGTTGGCAACAAGTCTCGAGATCGAGGATTTAAAGCTTCAACAAAGAGAATGTTTGGTGAATTTTATCAAGGGGAAAGACATTATTGCCCTTCTTCCTACAGGATTTGGTGGGACTGGTTAAATAAAAAGTACCTGCCTACCGTTGAGCAAACAAATTCTAATGCTGTGAGGTCAGACGGTTTCCACGAAGTGAAATTGGCTGATGAATCAGGCTGTGAGTGCCTTGAAGGTGAGAAAGCAGTAGAAAAAAAAATCAGTGATATAACGCGGTACTTCAATTCAAAATGCTTCTGAAACGATTTTTTAAAGTCATGTTTTTATTCGATTATTTCCAGTTTTGTTCTTGTGAAGGTACTTAGCTGTAATATTATTTGTAAATACTGATTAATTGCAGTATATGTACCTTTGTTTTGATACATGTACTGGATATTGAATGGTGACAGGCACATTTTATATCACCAGATTCATGACCATGCCCAAAGCACCATTTAAAAATTTTAATATTGAAATAAAAATACAATTATTGAGCGTGTAATGTTACAAA